CCATCCGACACAACACACAGTCGACACTCTCAGGCCTGGCTGGACGAAGTCAGGACCAGCCCTGGCTTCGCCAGTGGCCACTGCCACCTGAAACTGTAACTGGAAGTTCTGCATACAATACACCCATCATCCTAGTGACTCTTGCGGTCTCCCTGCAACCTGGGGTTCGACTTGATGATTGTAGTGATCTAGGCACAATCACGACTTAGACCGCTACACTTGAAAGAAAACAGGCAGGATTTTAGTGAAATTAAAGGATGCTAGATATCCGAGAAATCTTTTGTTTTTTGTAATGTAAAAGAACACCCATATGAGCAAGAAAATGTTTAAATAGATCGCTTCTAGAACCGGAAAATCTAATCGTAAGTCAATGAAATTCTGGTGGGGTAGTTTAAAGAAGCGCACTTTTCCAGGAAAAAAAGGACAAAAATTCAGGTATAAAAATTATGTTTTTATAATTTTTGAAGCCTTATATCCGAAAACAGAGTAGCAAACTTGTTTGACCGTACTTTCTTTTACCACATAGAAGGTTTGGGACCGTAAGCAAAAATCCGTATGGACACAGGAAACTATCTTGTTAAATTTGAAGCATGTTGCAAGATCATTTTTTGTACAATATAGTTTCGGCTTATGCGTAAGTAAAAAAACCGAAAGCACAGATTAACAGGTCTCACAAAATCATAACATACATTCGCCCACTCTTTAGTTGGTCTAAAAGCAATCAGATTTACTGACAAACGCTCCAAGATAAAGAGGGAAATGAGTTCTTACGTTTCTAGCCGAGATTTTATCACTAATTTTCAGAAAAATTTTAAAAATACGGTAGAAGTTCCTTAGTTTTCCTTACCTTTTCCTCAAAAGGTAAATTACGCAGGTATTCATCAGCTGAATATGCAATTCGAGTAATTTGTAAAGAGGTAAGTCAGGTAAGTTTTCCTCAGAAGTAATCTTAGACATATTAATGTCCGACTTATATTATTTTTTTCGGTTAAGACTTTTTATGACTCAAACGGTCATCTTCAAGCGAACTAAAATCGAAAAACTCCTTTTTGGTAAATACTCCTGAGACATATCGTAGTGTGAAGGTTTTAATAAACACATCAGACAAATTCTAAATTTATAGACAAACGGACGGAAAATTGTGAAGTATTTGCCGGAAATTCGAGGTCGAGATCAAACTAATTGTAATCCGATACCAACGGTTTCTAAAAAAACTATTAACACATTTTATAATTCCATTGGCTTTAGGTGGTTCATTATTACTTCAGAATTTTGGTACATACCAGCTGGTTAGTGATTATCAATCTTTCGCAAATGTTGACCATTTGGCATCAGATGGGTGCTATACTGCAGTCGAAAAAGCAAGTTAATCACATCAATTAAGGGAACTAGTGAGTGAAAAGGCGAGGGGAACTAACCGCTAGAAAGGGAAATCTCTTCTCCGCACAAATGCACTGCAAATCTCGCAGGGTAAGAAAGCCGCGTCTGCAGGTGGGTTGCAGGGCACCATCGGGATCCGGCTCCGCCGTTTTCGGTGGAGGTGTTGCGAAAGCGAGGAGGGAGGCCAGAAACAGCAGGGCCAAATTACACTCCATCAGCAGCCGATCACCCATGTGGTCCACCTGGCCA